ATGAACAGGGTATTTACTTACATGCAAAGTACTGTAAAAGCCATATCTATAACGAAGTGCTAACTCTAACGAGTTAATGAGGAGAAACCGGTCGTTAAAATAGAAATCGTTATACAGAAATCGATACATATACTGTCCTATTGAGCGTTGAGAATGAGTGAGAATCGTTACCTTTGGTACACGTAAACTAGTCAAGTTTGGGAAATCGTTACATATGCGCCTTGTTAGAATAATGGCTTTCACAGTAAGTCACTTTGATTCAGTCAATCATTCCAGTGACATGTCCAGTTACTGTTTACTGCATACAAACATGTATTCGGTATATCTTACCACTACATGGCATGAACAGGGCCAGGTTCATGACTGGCGCTTGTTCGCTTAATGCTTCTGGCTGGTACGTATTGCAAAACACATGCACAAGCTGTGGCTGGTACGTATTGCAAAACACATGCACAAGCTGTGGCTGGTACGTATTGCAAAACACATGCACAAGCTGTGGCTGGTACGTATTGCAAAACACATGCACAAGCTGTGGCTGGTACGTATTGCAAAACACATGCACAAGCTGTGGCTGGTACGTATTGCAAAACACATGCACAAGCTGTGGCTGGTACGTATTGCAAAACACATGCACAAGCTGTGGCTGGTACGTATTGCAAAACACATGCACAAGCTGTGGCTGGTACGTATTGCAAAACACATGCACATGCTGTGGCTGGTACGTATTGCAAAACACATGCACAAGCTGTCGCAGTGCTAGTGACATTAGTGATGTTCTGCTCTACGTTACGGGAACACGACGCCAAGAATCCTGGAAACTCCCTTCTCGTTCCCGTAACGTAAAGAAAATCTGTTCTGCTCGATGTTCACGTAGAGAAATCACCTGGAATGTGTACTCGGAATTTCCCGTTCCAAATTTGGCTGTTTTTCTGCCTGATTCGAATGATACCCAGCAGATTCGTACGCATTTTCTTTGCGAGTGCCACAACGCATAAAAAAATCTGGACCCAAAGCGCGCAAAGCTGTAGACAAACCCAGACGCCTGGTCTCTACGTGATTGCTCTACGTTTCACGTATTCGGTATAGCAGAACCTCGCTATTATCTGGCGGAATCCTGGCAGGGAATAACGTCCTACGAAATGCAAGCCCCCTGGGCGACGTCAAGTAAAATACTTTTGGACCCAGGCCCAGAGTATTGCTCGTCATTGGTGGACCGTATCCTGATTTGGGGTGAATCTCAAGGTGCGCAAAACAAGAGCATCTACAGTCATGGCCAAAGAAATCCAAACCATGTGCAGCGACACGGCTCATTTGGCCACTGCAGCCCTCAGATGGGCTTTGTTCTGTGGATGATGTACATGTAATTGGAATGGAAACGCGCCACTACATATACTTTAGACTCGCATGCTGGATTCCTTTGGCCGCGACTGTCTTTGATTTACTGCTGATGTATTTATGTACATTTCATTTCACTAACATCACGTCTTGCTATATAATTATCTTGTTGTGTGGCAGAATGTTCACCAGATACCTGGGGAGCAGGCTGTACGAATGAATGCCAATGTCAAAATGGTGCGCAGTGCGACAGGAAAATTGGCTGCCAATGTGTCGTGGGTCACATAGGACGATACTGTTCTAAACGTGAGTTCCCATGGATAACCCCCTCCCCCCCTCCGTCTCTCTTTGTGTGCCGTGTCTGTCAGTGTGTCTCTGTGTCTGCCTGGCTGCCTTGCTTTATATTATTGTCTGTCTGTCTATCTGTCTGTCTGTCTCTCTGTCTCTCGTTCTTCACTTTGGCCATAGCAAATTACAGTACGGCAGGGGGAAAGTCCCCTCATGTGGCATGCACGTGTGACTTTGAAGTTTTTTTCTGTAGTAAAATGGGTTCCTGGCCAGGAGGACCCAGTCCAGTGAAATCATCGGATGTGCCACCCTGCTGTGAAGGGAAACCACCCAAACGACGTGTATCGCTTCATACACAGTATGGATGCAAGTGGTTCGAAAGTCCGTGTTGCCATGACTTCAACATCGTTTTGACGTAGCACTTTCAAACCCTATATCTGCCTTCTCGTGACAATAGTTTATTCCTTCACCCGTTGCTTCACTACATCTTGTTTCGCGGATCTAGCACTGGTTTTACTCAATTGTATTCTGGCGAAGAGCCCGAGAGATGTGGAATGTGTCTGATTATTTACGGATGAGGGTTGATCGTTATGTATGGTTGGGGGCTGATCGTTATGTATGGTTGGGGGTTGATCGTCATGTATGGGTGGGGGTTGATCGTTATGTATGGGCGGGGGTTGATGGCCTCACTACTCACCTGGATGACCTAGGTTCCATAGTGCTATGAGCTTGTATATGAGTCAGCCACCTACTGTGCAAAGCTCGTCATCTTAAGTCTCGTAGATATGCATAACGACATAGCTATTGTGGAGGGACTAAGCGTTGCGTCTGCACCTTGACCCCCGAGTATTGTGGCGCTCCCACGGGTGCAAACCACTCCGTCAGAACCGTAGAAGAACCGTATTTATAAATATTCCATTTTATAGCTGGTGTGCTCCCGTTACGGTCTACCAGCATGTTTCCTGTTCTGCTTTTCAATGTATTCCATCTTGTGTGTTTGGTTGTGTGTGTGTGTGTCCGTGTGTGTGTGTGTCTGTCCGTGTGTGTGTGTGTCTGTGTGTGTGTTTGGTTGTGTGTGTGTGTGTGTGTGTGTGTGTGTGTGTGTGTGTGTGTGTGTGTGTGTGTGTGTGTGTCTGTCTGTCTGTCCGTGTGAATGTACATGTACATATGGCATATGCGCTGTGTTTGCTTCTTTTTTTACAGGAATTTCGTGTCCAAAGCTGATCTTGCCTGCCAACGTCATATTGCAGCAATCTGGTGGTAATAGCTTCTTGAATGTGACCACCACACGTTGCCCGGACAACTGGTTGTGGGTGAACGGCAGTCATCAACGAGTATGTCAGGCTGATGGTACATGGTCAGGTCCAGCTGCATCCTGTCAGCCTCCCTCTACTAACAGTCCTGGCACAACTGCCGCTCCTCAAGTTCAGATGTGTTCTGAAGCAACCATTGATGGTCTTCAAGGAAAGTTTGTGTGGCCTGTGACAATAGCTGGCGTGAAAAGAACTATTGTATGTCCAGTGCTGGTTGCTGATGAACCTGTTGTGCTTGCCGAGCGGAAATGTGCCATGAAAGACAACAGAGCGCGGTGGGAGAACCCGGAGATCGAAGGCTGTCCGTATGCTAAAGCAAGGACACGCAAGATGCAACGGTTAGTTTCTGGCGAGCTCAAAGAGAATCGCACGCTAGTCGGAGTGGGTTCTGCTGCCAGTGATCTCTCAGCATTGCTGGAGGAGGACGGTGAAGTCACTTCAGCGGATGCTGGCCTGTCAGGAGAGTTGCTGGGGCATCTCGTCACCTCGATGGTCAGCTTGCTCACGACGACTTCATCTGATGAGGCGATTGTAAAAGACACCATACCAACATTCCTCGCTGTATTTGATACCGTTGAAGCCTCTGCCAGTAAACCCTCATCTATGGATGCTGGTGCTATGAAGCAGAAACAGAGTGACCAGCGTGAGTTGCGTGGTGTGCTGGAAGACCTCGCACTTGCAGTGCCATTAGCAGAGGAGCAGCAGACATTCTCCTTCCAATCCAAACGTGTTATCATGTCAGGTGTGTGTCCGAAACTTGGAGATAGCTATCTGTTCACAGTTGAGAATGCACGCACTGGCAACACTTCTACTGGGGCTCGTTCAGCAAACATCACAACTTTGGGGTCAGCGAATGCTACCGACGTTAATACTGCAGCCATGATGGATGTGAATGAGAAGAACGATTTGATGTTTACATTCCCATCCGCAGCTGTGCAGAAGGCAAAGGAACGTCGTACTTCGCCACAGACTACGTTTGCCTGTCAGGCTCCACAGATCTCACTTGTCTCCTTTCCGTCTGAAGATGACTTCAACAGTAGTGATGCTGTTATCGGTGATCAAGTTGCAACGTCTGTTGTAGCAGCCAGTGTAGGTAGCAGGGAAGATAGCTTGCAGCTGGGTTTGAGTCAAGTACAAATGACAATGCCTATTCATCTGGCAAGTGATGATCTGAAAGAAAGAAATCTCACATGTCGCTATTGGAATGAGACAACGCTGTCATGGAGACAAGATGGCTGTCGACTTGTGAATGTGACGAGGAGCAAAGATGGAGAGATGATGGCTCGTTGCGAATGTAACCACTTGACACACTTTGCCGTACTTGTTACACCTCCCAATGCAGAATCTGTTAGCGCGTCCGCTGCTGATCAAAAGGCTTTGTTCTTCATCTCCATCATCGGTTGTAGCCTGTCTGTCGTATGTCTGACACTGACTGTGTTTTTCATCCAATGCACGAGAAATCAAAAGAGAACTCTCCAGCATCAGCTGACGACATGTCTCTCTGTGTCTCTCCTCCTTGCTCTGTTGCTGTACATTGCTAATGCACTTGGATTGCAAGGAGAGGATAGGTGGGCCTGTTTCAGCTTTGCCATTCTGCTGCACTACTTGCTTCTGGCAGCATTCGGGTTTACGCTTGTGATGGCGTACTATCTGTACCGGCGTCTCATAGCTGTTCTGGTGGACGTCGGTGAGACTTTCCTGCAGCGTTCCATCACTGCTGTGTGTGTTGGCTGTGCTGCGCTTGTGGGTGTGAACCTAGCTGCGTTCAAACCTGATGTGTATGGAAGCAGCAGTGGCGGACTATGCTTCCTGTCTGTAAGACTGTCGTTCTACATCACGTTCATAGCACCTATTGTCCTCACGCTGCTTACGAACGCGTGCGTGCTGGTTGTGTCGATGAACAAAGTGCGCCAGCACTACAAGAACAGTGGTTCAGACAAACGCATGATCTGGATCCTGACTAAGATGGTCTTCTCCATGACTTTCCTGCTTGGTCTCACCTGGTTGTTTGGTGCCGTGGTGACAATCTGGCCGCACGTTGTTTTCCAGTACATTTTCACCATTCTCAACACACTGCAAGGAGTAGGAGTGTTTGTCTTCCACCTCACGACTAATCCCGATGCTGTTACTGGGCTCAAATCCACCTACCGCACCCTGTCCAGAGGCACTGGATCTTTCATCAGCCGAGTCACACCCTTCGGGTCGTCAGTATCGCCCGATGTGTCCAAATCAGCTCCAATTGCAGAGATTGTGGCACCACTCTCCGTCGAGTTGGACTCCATGGTTGGAGTAAGTAGCAAAGTTGAGTGCATGTCACCAGTGACGTCGCCAGTGACGTCGCCATCTGCCTCGGGCTGCAGACGCAGCGCGCATTCCTCCCCCGCAATCGCGGTTGAAACAAGGTTATGCCAGCCGGCCTCCAGCCGAAGCCCCCGTCTCTCCACAACTAGCAGCGATGGCATCCTCAGCCATGCGTTCTAGGACGTGTAGTTGGCTGTAGAAGGCCGATCGACAGGATGGCACGCTGGCCACCCATGCATCCATCATTCATGTGTCGTTTCTGTCCACCTGGAGTCACTTGTGCCAAGCGGTGGCATCCTCACTGGTAGTCAGCTAGCACGGGACTCTCTCTCTCTCTCCCTCCCTTTCTCTCTCTCTCTCTCTTCTCTCTCTCTCTCTCTCTCTCTCTCTCTCTCTCTCTCTCTCTCTCTCTCTCTCTCTCTCTCTCTCTCTCTCTATCTATCTATCTATCTATCTCTCTCTCTATCTCTCTCTCTCTTTCTCTCTCTCTCTCTCTCTCTCTCTCTCTCTCTCTCTCTCTCTCTCTCTCTCTCTCTCTCTCCCTCTCTCTTTCTCTCTCTCTCTCCAGAGTACGTGATGACCACGCTAAGTAACACAGCACTAGCATGCAACAACAAGCGGTTAATAGAGTGCCGCATAGTTCACATCCAGTATTCCATTCCGATGTTGGACGAAACTCGATCTTTGCTAAGTGTTCTATCTTAATTTTAGCATAATCTCAGCTTAAAACGTGGCTAACCCGCGGCACCGAATTGTCTCTCTGGGATCATATCCCCCGTTTATCTGTACCTCGACGCCAAGTATTTCAAAGCTGCCCCTAATTACAGTCTTTTCTGACAGCTCGTTTTAATTTCTTTCATAATTTTTCGAAAGAGAATTTATAAGCACTTAGCTTCAGAAAGCTCTTGAAGTCATGCGCCTATTTGCTTTGTAATGCTTTTTTTTTGTAGTGACTGCATACCGTGTGTGTGTGGGCGTCTCTATCCCCTTCCCGTCCTATCACTCAGCATCGCAGCCTGAATTGTAATAATAATATCTTTATTTTTAAAAAGATGACTCTAGGCCAAAGGATGGATGGCCCGCCTATCAACGCACTCACCACGTTGGAGGATAATCTATGAGTTCAATTAGATGATGGAATGCCTGACCCCTTCTACCTCTGTGTTTCCATGCCATGTCAAAATCCCCCACATATCACCACCTTGTGCGTGACAAACTAGACATTAGACACCCTTAGCAAACAACGTTATGTTGTAATGGTATTATCGTAAGGGGGAAAATACCGTGATTTGGGTTCGACCTTTAGCAAGATGCACGCTATTTTTAGTACGCTGTTGCCACGAGCTTTGATTTCGCGCTGTACAACCATTTTTGTCACCATATACGCGATACAAGGTGAAATGCGTACGGACTATGCAATATTTGGCTAAGGCGGTGTTTACATGAGGCGTTTCAACCCGGGTTGAGTTCGACCCGGGTCAGATTTCAACCCGCCATGTGCATAAAATGAATGGCGCGTTTACATGACGCATTGCGCTTGACCCGGGTTGAAATTTCGCCCCGGGTTGATTTCAACCCTCCCCCCAAGGGGAGGGTTGAAATCAACCCGGGTCAAGAAAATCGTACAAACGTACTTCTGTGCGTATCTCGCGCCAGGTTTGAACGGCACTGCAGATGCAAATTTCGCGCGAACGGATTCACGTGACCATACAGGACTGTAGAAGTGGACTTTTGGCGGCATATCAGTATTTGACCCGGGTCAACTGTCTTCATGTAAACGCTCACCTCTTTTGTCTATCGTACAGACTTTCAACCCGGGTTGAAATTTCTCATGTAAACACAGCCTTACATGTAGGCTGTGTTTACATGAAGCGTTTCAACCCGGGTTGAGTTCGACCCGGGTCAGATTTCAACCCGCCATGTGCACAAAGTGAATGGCGCGTTTACATGACGCATTGCGCTTGACCCGGGTTGAAATTTCGCCCCGGGTTGATTTCAACCCTCCCCCCAAGGGGAGGGTTGAAATCAACCCGGGTCAAGAAAATCGTACAAACGTACTTCTGCGCGTATCTCGCGCCAGGTTTGAACAGCACTGCAGATGCAAATTTCGCGCGAACGGATTCACGTGACCATACAGGACTGTAGAAGTGGACTTTTGGCGGCATATCAGTATTTGACCCGGGTCAACTGTCTTCATGTAAACGCTCACCTCTTTTGTCTATCGTACAGACTTTCAACCCGGGCTGAACTCGACCCGGGTTGAAATTTCTCATGTAAACACAGCCTAAAACACGTACCGTTGGTCACAACGATAAGTCAGCCCCCATAACGTTTATACGCTGCAGCTTCAACGCTATTTGGGTGATCAAGGTACGAGTACCGTAAAAAATAGCGTTACCGGATACCGTTGTTTGCTAAGGGTGTCTATTGTCACAGCATGCGACGTTTACCTCGCCCTCTGGCAAAGACCACTCTGCTCTTCTCTCCTATCTTTTCTTGTGTGTCACTGTGTGTGTGTGTGGGTGTGTCCATGTGTGTGTGTGTGTGTGTGTGTGTGTGTGTGTGTGTGTGTGTGTGTCCATGTGTGTGTGTGTGTGTGTGTGTGTGTGTGTGTGTGTGTGTCCATGTCCATGTGTGTGTGTGTGTGTGTGTGTGTGTGTGTGTGTGTGTGTGTGTGTGTGTGTGTGTGTGTGTGTGTGTGTGTGTGTGTGTGTGTGTGTGTGTGTGTGTGTGTGTGTGTGTGTGTGTGTGTGTGTGTGTGTGTGTGTGTGTGTGTGTGTGTGTGTGTGTGTGTGTGTGTGTGTGTGTGTGTGTGTGTGTGTGTGTGTGTGTGTGTGTGTGTGTGTGTGTGTGTGTGTGTGTGTGTGTGTGTGTGTGTGTGTGTGTGTGTGTGTGTGTGTGTGTGTGTGTGTGTGTGTGTGTGTGTGTGTGTGTGTGTGTGTGTGTGTGTGTGTGTGTGTGTGTGTGTGTGTGTGTGTGTGTGTGTGTGTGTGTGTGTGTGTGTGTGTGTGTGTGTGTGTGTGTGTGTGTGTGTGTGTGTGTGTGTGTGTGTGTGTGTGTGTGTGTGTGTGTGTGTGTGTGTGTGTGTGTGTGTGTGTGTGTGTGTGTGTGTGTGTGTGTGTGTGTGTGTGTGTGTGTGTGTGTGTGTGTGTGTGTGTGTGTGTGTGTGTGTGTGTGTGTGTGTGTGTGTGTGTGTGTGTGTGTGTGTGTGTGTGTGTGTGTGTGTGTGTGTGTGTGTGTGTGTGTGTGTGTGTGTGTGTGTGTGTGTGTGTGTGTGTGTGTGTGTGTGTGTGTGTGTGTGTGTGTGTGTGTGTGTGTGTGTGTGTGTGTGTGTGTGTGTGTGTGTGTGTGTGTGTGTGTGTGTGTGTGTGTGTGTGTGTGTGTGTGTGTGTGTGTGTGTGTGTGTGTGTGTGTGTGTGTGTGTGTGTGTGTGTGTGTGTGTGTGTGTGTGTGTGTGTGTGTGTGTGTGTGTGTGTGTGTGTGTGTGTGTGTGTGTGTGTGTGTGTGTGTGTGTGTGTGTGTGTGTGTGTGTGTGTGTGTGTGTGTGTGTGTGTGTGTGTGTGTGTGTGTGTGTGTGTGTGTGTGTGTGTGTGTGTGTGTGTGTGTGTGTGTGTGTGTGTGTGTGTGTGTGTGTGTGTGTGTGTGTGTGTGTGTGTGTGTGTGTGTGTGTGTGTGTGTGTGTGTGTGTGTGTGTGTGTGTGTGTGTGTGTGTGTGTGTGTGTGTGTGTGTGTGTGTGTGTGTGTGTGTGTGTGTGTGTGTGTGTGTGTGTGTGTGTGTGTGTGTGTGTGTGTGTGTGTGTGTGTGTGTGTGTGTGTGTGTGTGTGTGTGTGTGTGTGTGTGTGTGTGTGTGTGTGTGTGTGTGTGTGTGTGTGTGTGTGTGTGTGTGTGTGTGTGTGTGTGTGTGTGTGTGTGTGTGTGTGTGTGTGTGTGTGTGTGTGTGTGTGTGTGTGTGTGTGTGTGTGTGTGTGTGTGTGTGTGTGTGTGTGTGTGTGTGTGTGTGTGTGTGTGTGTGTGTGTGTGTGTGTGTGTGTGTGTGTGTGTGTGTGTGTGTGTGTGTGTGTGTGTGTGTGTGTGTGTGTGTGTGTGTGTGTGTGTGTGTGTGTGTGTGTGTGTGTGTGTGTGTGTGTGTGTGTGTGTGTGTGTGTGTGTGTGTGTGTGTGTGTGTGTGTGTGTGTGTGTGTGTGTGTGTGTGTGTGTGTGTGTGTGTGTGTGTGTGTGTGTGTGTGTGTGTGTGTGTGTGTGTGTGTGCATTTTCAAGTCCACCCAGAGTTTTGGGGATTTCAGGGGGTGTCGGCCGTTGGGCGGTTCAATAGCCAATTGAGTCATCTTTCCAAGATTCCTTTTGAGTCTCTCTCCCCTCTCCCGGGGAGACCCACGTGACCAGTTTTGGCAGTGAGCAACAAGTACAAGTACAAGTGTGTGTGTGTGTGTGTGTGTGTGTGTGTGTGTGTGTGTGTGTGTGTGTGTGTGTGTGTGTGTGTGTGTGTGTGTGTGTGTGTGTGTGTGTGTGTGTGTGTGTGTGTGTGTGTGTGTGTGTGTGTGTGTGTGTGTGTGTGTGTGTGTGTGTGTGTGTGTGTGTGTGTGTGTGTGTGTGTGTGTGTGTGTGTGTGTGTGTGTGTGTGTGTGTGTGTGTGTGTGTGTGTGTGTGTGTGTGTGTGTGTGTGTGTGTGTGTGTGTGTGTGTGTGTGTGTGTGTGTGTGTGTGTGTGTGTGTGTGTGTGTGTGTGTGTGTGTGTGTGTGTGTGTGTGTGTGTGTGTGTGTGTGTGTGTGTGTGTGTGTGTGTGTGTGTGTGTGTGTGTGTGTGTGTGTGTGTGTGTGTGTGTGTGTGTGTGTGTGTGTGTGTGTGTGTGTGTGTGTGTGTGTGTGTGTGTGTGTGTGTGTGTGTGTGTGTGTGTGTGTGTGTGTGTGTGTGTGTGTGTGTGTGTGTGTGTGTGTGTGTGTGTGTGTGTGTGTGTGTGTGTGTGTGTGTGTGTGTGTGTGTGTGTGTGTGTGTGTGTGTGTGTGTGTGTGTGTGTGTGTGTGTGTGTGTGTGTGTGTGTGTGTGTGTGTGTGTGTGTGTGTGTGTGTGTGTGTGTGTGTGTGTGTGTGTGTGTGTGTGTGTGTGTGTGTGTGTGTGTGTGTGTGTGTGTGTGTGTGTGTGTGTGTGTGTGTGTGTGTGTGTGTGTGTGTGTGTGTGTGTGTGTGTGTGTGTGTGTGTGTGTGTGTGTGTGTGTGTGTGTGTGTGTGTGTGTGTGTGTGTGTGTGTGTGTGTGTGTGTGTGTGTGTGTGTGTGTGTGTGTGTGTGTGTGTGTGTGTGTGTGTGTGTGTGTGTGTGTGTGTGTGTGTGTGTGTGTGTGTGTGTGTGTGTGTGTGTGTGTGTGTGTGTGTGTGTGTGTGTGTGTGTGTGTGTGTGTGTGTGTGTGTGTGTGTGTGTGTGTGTGTGTGTGTGTGTGTGTGTGTGTGTGTGTGTGTGTGTGTGTGTGTGTGTGTGTGTGTGTGTGTGTGTGTGTGTGTGTGTGTGTGTGTGTGTGTGTGTGTGTGTGTGTGTGTGTGTGTGTGTGTGTGTGTGTGTGTGTGTGTGTGTGTGTGTGTGTGTGTGTGTGTGTGTGTGTGTGTGTGTGTGTGTGTGTGTGTGTGTGTGTGTGTGTGTGTGTGTGTGTGTGTGTGTGTGTGTGTGTGTGTGTGTGTGTGTGTGTGTGTGTGTGTGTGTGTGTGTGTGTGTGTGTGTGTGTGTGTGTGTGTGTGTGTGTGTGTGTGTGTGTGTGTGTGTGTGTGTGTGTGTGTGTGTGTGTGTGTGTGTGTGTGTGTGTGTGTGTGTGTGTGTGTGTGTGTGTGTGTGTGTGTGTGTGTGTGTGTGTGTGTGTGTGTGTGTGTGTGTGTGTGTGTGTGTGTGTGTGTGTGTGTGTGTGTGTGTGTGTGTGTGTGTGTGTGTGTGTGTGTGTGTGTGTGTGTGTGTGTGTGTGTGTGTGTGTGTGTGTGTGTGTGTGTGTGTGTGTGTGTGTGTGTGTGTGTGTGTGTGTGTGTGTGTGTGTGTGTGTGTGTGTGTGTGTGTGTGTGTGTGTGTGTGTGTGTGTGTGTGTGTGTGTGTGTGTGTGTGTGTGTGTGTGTGTGTGTGTGTGTGTGTGTGTGTGTGTGTGTGTGTGTGTGTGTGTGTGTGTGTGTGTGTGTGTGTGTGTGTGTGTGTGTGTGTGTGTGTGTGTGTGTGTGTGTGTGTGTGTGTGTGTGTGTGTGTGTGTGTGTG